AACAACAACACAGCCTTAATCTCCAGGCAATGATCTAGCTCTACAGTTCCAACTGGGGAGATGGATGGCAAGCATGAAAACTTTTCTTGTCTGCCATGTTGCTGTCCTTGGGCTTCCAAGATAGAGACTCTACAATCAATCATTATTTTATATGTTGCTGTTGTTAGGCGTATTTGAGTCCATTCCAACTCACAGTGACCCATGTGACAGAGCACAACTGCCCCACAGGGTTCTCTAGGCTGCAATCTCCACAGGAGCAGGTCACCAGGTCCTTCTCCTCTGCACCTTCCAGGTAGCAGCCCAGCGCTCAACTCTTGCACCACCAGGACTCCCATGTTATTTTATACAGACTGTTAAATAATAATAATAATAATAATAAACTCTGGTTACCTTTTAAGACAACTAGGTCTATTTAAATGGAGACCCAGAAGCCTCAGTGTGATTATGTTTCCCAGTTGGTCTGGCTGCTTATGTTGTATCAGTCAAGAAAACAAAAACTCTCCACATATCCTCAAAAAAAAAAAAAAAAAAATTACAACAACAATGAAAACAAATAGAACTACACAAAATTCATTTCTTCAGCACATCCAAACTTCAAATTACCTTTTAGAAGAAAAATAAAAATTAAATCCCACTGAGCTATCTCCCATATTCCTGTTATAAGTCTTTGTGGACAACAAGGGCAAGTTGAGGAAAAATTGCTTAGAATAGTGAAGAAAGGAGTTAGAAGCAGGGCTCGAATTGATTTAAAACCATCACCAAGGAGAGAAAGTCCATCTACTGTGTAAAAATATTGAAAAGTGTACTGATTAGAGTAAGGACTAAAACATGCATGCAGCAGTATACAAGCTGACTAAAAAAAAAATAAATCATTGCCATTGAGTGCATTTTGACTCATAGCAACCCCCCTTGGGTTTCCAAGGCTATAATCCTTTACAGAAGCAGATTGCCCAGTCTTCCTTCCACAGAGTGGCTGGTGGGCTTGAACCACCAACCTTCTGGTTAGTAGTCAAATACCTTAGGCCCTACACCACCAGAGCTCCTTACACAAGCTGACAGTCTTGGAAGAAAAGGACAAAAGGAAGGAAAGTTGCCAACCCAAAACAACTAACTCTGCCCACAGATATGCAGAGACAGTCTTCAATGGTTTAAAAAAAAAAGAAACTAATATTTAAAATTAGAATAAAATGTGAATCAAGAGGTTTATATCCAGCAAAGCTATCCTTCAAATATCAAGGCTATGGGGAAATTGCTTTAAACATGCAAGACCTCATGAGAATTCTGTGCCCATGACCCCTTCTTGAAGAATCTATCACAAAATGAACTTCATGAAACCAAGAGATAACTGGAGAAAAACTTCAGCAAAAACACTGATGATTAAAATTTAATATATTTAGTAATTTATCTAAGAAGCTCTGGTGGCATAGTGCCTAAGGCATTTGACTGCTAACCAGAAGGTTGGTGGTTCAAACCTATTAGCCACTCTGTGGAAGGAAGACTGAGCAATCTACTTCCGTAAAGATTTACTGCCTTGGAAACCCAAAGGGAGTCGTCACATGAGTCAGAATTGACTCAAAGGCAGTGAGTTTGGGTTTTTTTGGAATCTAAGACTGAAGTAGAAACAAGAGTGTAAGCAAAATATATTACATGTACTATATGTTGCATATAGCATGTTTTCACAAAGTAGAAATAACATAAAATAATGACAGATTTGCTACCAAACTTAACATTTTTATCACCAAATATCACTGGAAGGCATAAAAATAAAAGTATGTAAAAAGGTATACTTAGAAAATGGAAACAATTAAAAGCAGGGAATAATACTCATGAGACAAACATAAATGAAACCAAAAAGCATTAACTGTGACAAAAAAGGTCCTTAATGCTGAAAGCCTCAATTCATAATATGGATATTATAAATATCTACACACCAAATAACACAGAATCCATCTTCAAAAAAGCAAAACTACACGAGATGCAGGAAGACATGAACAGAAGCATACTAATATAGGAGATTTTATCATGACACACTCAGTAAAGACATTAAATGAACCAAAAATAAAAGAAGAACATAGACAATCTCAGTGGTTAAGCACTCAGCTGCTAGCCAAAAGGTCAGCGGGTCTAACCCTGCAGCTGTTCCACAGGAAGAAAGATGTGGCAGTCTACTTCTGTAAAGATTTACAGCCTTGGAAACCTTATAGAATAGTTCGACTCTGTCCTAAAGTTGGAATGAGCTGAAGTCCCGAGTCGGATTCAGCTCAATGGCCCAGGGTTTGATTTGGTTTGGGTCTATGGTTTATACCTTTATACTCTGATAAGGGACAATATACTTCTTATCAATTGCATGTGGAACATTCACAAAAATTCATTATTTATTAGGTCCCTAGAATGAAAAAGGATGAACTCTGTGAACTGAAGTATGGATTGACATACATACCACCCACTGAAACCTACTGATTCCGATTCATAGCAAACCCTATAGGACACAGCAGAACTGCTCCCATAGGGTTTCTAAGGCTGTAAATCTTTGCAAAAGCAGAATGCTACATCATTCTCCAATAGCGCAACTGGTGGGTTCAAACTGCCGAACTTTCAGTTAGCAGCTGAGTCTTCTAACCACTGTGCCACCAGGGCTCCTTGATACACACACATACACATATACCCTCCCTCCCACATATAAATACATATACATTCATGCTAACTGCTTTATTATCTGTAATAAACTTAGCCCTAAGAGTTATATAATCATATCTGAAGAAATAAAATTTCTAAAGTTTAAAAAAAATTAAAAGATACTGGTTTATACAATCTATAGACTGCAAAAATGTTCCTATAAGAACAAACTGGCTTTTTTTAAAAGCCAAGAAAAGAGGCTTTTAAACAGAGCTGTCCTGCTAATATTTAAATGGTAAGAATTTACTCATACATGTGACTGGATCATGAAAACAGGAAAAATATAACATTAATCTGAGTGGCAAATATTTAAACGTGCCCAGCTCACATTAATTTTATATTAGTAAGATAAGAATTATCTTTCATAAAAGTTGCAAAGATGAAAATGCTTCTTGCTATTTTATAATGAAACCTACCTTACAGTAAAATCATAGGAGCAAGAGGCCAGCACAGAAGCATGAAACGGAGAAAACTACAAAATAAGAGAGAAGCTTTCTGAGGTTAGCTGAAATTACAACATGCTACTTCATATGGTCCTTCTCACTAAATTATAGCAAAGTAAATTATGCTTTCCCAAACCTTTTATTCTTTAATTCAAGGCAAAAATCATTCTGGCCCATTAAATATCCATTGAGCCAAAAAATTTATTTTGACATTATCTAAAGAAGCCATCCTTCAAGTTTTTTAGAGCTTAAATAATAATATTTATAATATTATTAATATTTATAACAGTATTATTATATATTTATATAAATATATTATGTATATTTGTATATATTATTTATAATAAGTATTTATTATTTATATATATATTATTTATTATAATATTTATCATAAATAATCCCCAAATCTTGCTATTCTGGAAAAATGAAATATAATTTCATATTGGCTCTCCCAAAAGATTCCTAAAGATAGAGGGATTTAGATATGTGGCTGTTGTTGTTGTGTTATATGCCGTCAAGTGGGCCCCAACTCATAGCAACCCTTCCTTGGGTTTCTAAGGCAGTATCACTACGGAAGTAGATTGCCCAATCTTCCTTCCGAGGAGTGGCTGGTGGGTTTGAACCGCCAACCTTCTGGTTAGCGGTCAAGTGCCTTAGGCACTACGCTACCAGAGCTTCCAGATATGTGGCAGTACAAATATATAATTATATAATTTACCAATTTTATAAATACATATTATGATTGTTCTGGTAGCACTGTGCATAAGGCACTTGACTGCTAACCAGAAGGCTGGCGGTTCAAACTCACCAGCCACTCCTCGGAAGGAAGATGGGGCAATCTACTTCCATAGTGATATTGCCTCTGAAACCCAAGGAGGGGCTGTTATGAGTCGGGTCCGACTCGAAGGCACATAACAACAACAACAACATTATGATTGCTATAATTACAAGTGGAAAACATTTGAGTATTAAATAAAAAATCTTTAACATAACTGTGGTAGTTAAGGTTATATGTCAACTTGGCTGGGCCTGGTTTTGAGTGGCTGGGCAGCAGGATGTCATTACACCCCATGATGAGACTGGTAATTAACTCCATGGTGGAATCTACTGGAACAGTTCAATAGCTGTTTTACGGGTGTGGTCTGCTTCCAGCCTATAAGGAGAAGTTTTGAGAAAGGTCTCTGGTGCTTTTTGGCACACGTGGACCTTGAATGTAGCCAAGTCTTCATTCAGCAGCCTGCCATGTTTCCTGTTGACCTTGGGACTGTCTCTGGACTAGAACTAGTAGCCTGTTGTAATGTTTGGTCTTGGGACTGTGCCATTTTATTTGTCGACCTTGGATTTGTTAGCCTCAGCAGCCTGCAGCTGCCTGAGCAAAGAGACACCTCCAGCTTCAGTGGGCCAGGAGGCAAGAGGCAGAGCAGAAGCCCAGAGTCAAGGGGCTTTCATGCAGCACCTACAGCTGGCACTTTGAACTTGGACTTCTAGCCTCCTAAACAGCAAGAGAATAAACTCCTGTTTGTTAAAGCCACCCATTTGTGGTATTTTCTCTTAGAACTGCACTGGAAGTAACCAAAACAATGATGTTATATTACTTGCATTTCACAGCAAATGAAAAATGATATCAAGGATAAAAACTGCAAATATAAAGACAAGTAATATCTTTTAGATAAGTAGTAAACACATTTTAATAGGCTGCCATTTGTAATTATATTTCAGTGTTTTTCTTATTAGCACTTTAAAAGTTATATACATAGTTAAGCTACATTTGTATCACATTTTACAGCTTGCAAAAGTACTTTCACTACATTACCCTATCCATTCTCTGACCCACTCTAAAATATACATAGAAGATATTTTTTGATGACTTGAACCTGTCCACATATGGTCACAATTAAAAGAAAAAACAAAACAAGGCACTGTGTCTCATATGTCGTGCTGCAGTCTGTAAAATTTAGATTATTAATCTAACTGAAATTTCTAATTTTAAAAATAGGGATAACATAATTGTCTTATTTAAAAAAATCAATGACTTACTTTCACCCTTAAGGAGAGGAACAAAAATGAAACTGGGAAGTGTACCTTTATGAGATGTTTTCCACAATGACTTAGCAGAACTTATCTAAACAGAAGCTGAGACTAACTTAAGTGACCTTATAGACAGGCAAACTTCTTGGAAGCAGCCCAAAAAAGTTCATCATGTCAAGGATTAAAAAAAAAAAAAAAAACAGGATTAACCATCTCCCTATACCAGTTTCAACAAAGTAAAGAGATTTTTTGTCAGAATGGAAAATCATGAAGTATATAGTAATTACTACAGTTAAAAAATAATAATAAAAGGAAGACTAGACCAGAGATGGCAGAATATTTTTTTTAACCTTAAGCACTGACTGTCAACACTGTCCCAATTCAGTCAATAATTATTCAACTATTTCACCTAACTTTATCTTTCAATATTTATTATCATTAATTGGGTAATAAAAATATGCATAAAAGAATCATCAATCCTCAATCCTTAATCACTAAAACTGCTTTTATATATGCTTCACTGAATATCTCTACAATCAAAATTGTATTCTATGTGCAAAAAGAAAAGAAAAAGACTTACTTTCACTCTCCTAATAGCATAGGTGTGACCAAGAAGTTCAAACACTGGTTGTCGTACATTTCTCAAGTCCCAGCCTCTCAAACTACAGTCAACTGCCCCTGTCACCAGCAAATTCTGAAAAAAATTCAGAGAAAAGTAAACTGTGACATCTTTGTAATTAAGCAGTGCCTAGATTTTCCTACTAGAAACAATATCTACTTTATGAATAGCAGTGAGACACTGCTATTGAACAAAAACACTGCCGTCTCACTAACAACAACAAAACTAACCCAAAACTAACAACAAAACTCACTGTCGTTGAGTCAGATCTGACTCATAGCGACCCCTTCTTGGGTTTGTGATAGGAACCCCAGAGTTATTCTTGAGAAAGCGTGTAACAAGGAGAGAAAGGAATCAAAACAGACATTCATTCAAAAGCAAAAATTAGTATGACTTGAGGGTAGAAGAACTCAGTATGCTTTATGCATATGACAGAACACTACCACACAACAGAAAAAAGGAGTAGTCCCAAATAGTGTAGTGGATTTTCCATTCACTTTCAGTAGTATTAAGCACATACTAAAAAGCCCACTGCCACTGAGTCAATTCTGACTCATAGTAACTTTATAGCACAGAGTAGAACTGCCCCATAGGGTTTCCAAGATTGTAAATCTTTACAGAAGCAGATTAGCTCATCTTTCTCCTATAGAGTGGCTGGTAGTTTGAACCACTGACCTTTTTGGTTATCAGCCGAATGCTTTAATCACTGTGCCACCATTAAAAATTATATTGACTAAAAAGCTCTTTTCTTTTCAGAAACTTTCAACATGCTCTGAAGTTTTATCAGACATCAAAAGGAAAAAAAAATCCTATTAATTTAGGAATATTTGAAAGAGCAAAGAGCATAAATTAAATTTTTGTATGTTTTTCTAAATCTAAATCAATCATTGTTCCTAACTCTCATGGGCCAAGACTTAACGCAATATCTAATCATATCTGAGAATCTATGCAAATGGTAGTGAATTTTATCTAGTCAGGTTTTATAAATTCTATTATCTAGAGTCCTAAGTGTACCCAACGCTCCAGGCTGATGGGGCCACACTCAGCACCACCCATGTCAACTAGATCAGCAACACATTGTCTGAACATGTTATGCTTAAATATAAATACATATAAAATGTTGCAATGACTAAAAAAAAAAATTTAAACCACTCTCAAGTCTATGTATATATCAGTACCTGTTTTAGAATTCCCCAAAACATAACATATAGTCTCCCACATAATTTTCCTCCATGGAAAACTCATTTATGATATGACAGTGATCTGACCTAATAGTCATGACATTTTAATCTAGACCAAATATTATTATTGATTATATTCTGTTTTCTTTTAATCTATTTTATTTAAAGAACTCTGCCAATACAATGTTCTCTTAACTTTCATTAATTAATTTAAAACTGCGGAAAAAACAAGCCACAAATTTTACCTTTTTTGTCATGGTCAACAGACCACTTCAAGTACATAAACAGTCTATCAACACTTTTTAATCCATTTCTATTTGTAACTCATCTGCTCCTGAAGCTTTGCAACAGTTACACATGGGCACTGCTGTGTTACAAGAGCATCAAATTTTATTTGATTTATAGGGACAGATGAAACAGAAAATTAAAAAAAAAAAAAAAAAACTGATGATCTGTCAAATTAGAAATCAA